TGAATCCTGGTGAAACCATTACATCTGAGAAGTATGCTCAGCAAATCGATGAGATGCACCAAAAACTGCACTGCCTGCAGTGGTATTGGTCACCAGAAAGGGCCCGATTCTTCTCCACAACAAAGCCTGACCTCACGTCGCACAACCAGCACTTCAAAAGTGGAACGAATTGGGCTAAGAAGTTTTGTCTCATCCGCCATATTCACCTGACCTCTCACCAACCGACTACCACTTCTTCAAGCATCTTGACAACTGTTTGCAGGGAAAATGCTTCCTCAACCAGCAGGATGCAGAAAATGCTTTCCAAAAGTTTGTCGAATCCTGAAGCATGAATTTTTAGGCTACAGGAATAAACAAGCTTATTTCGTGTTGGCAAAAATGTGTTGATTGTAATGGTTCCTATTTTGATTAATAAAGATATGTTTGAGCCTAGTTATAATGCGGTCCAAAACCACAATTTCTTTTGTACCAACCTAATAGAAATGTTCAGAATCTGCTCTGCAGAGAGCTGCCTTGCCTATGTCTAGGACTATTGGAAGTGCTGTTGTTCTCTGCAGTCTTGGTCCGGTTCTGCTGGAGACTCAGCAAGGCTCCAAGGCCTGGATCTTGGAAGAGGGCAGGAGCTGGAGTTGGCAGATTGACTGGTTTTATAATCTTTTAAATTGCTGGCTGTAAATTATAAGTCACCTGGAACCTGTCTGAGCCTTAAAAATAATGACCTAGAAGGGAGCCAGAAGATTCATGTTTGGGTCTTGGCTCTGTGTTTGCTGAGTTTTGATGATGTTGGGCAAATCCCTTGGTCTAACCTGAGCTCTGCTTTCACCTTGCAGGGTGGTCTTGGGTATCATATCAGTCTGCTAGGGCTGCTATAACAAAATACCAGAGTAGGGGCTTAAAACAGCAGAAATTTATTTTCTCACAGTTCTGGAGGCTGGAGATCCCAGATCAAGTCACCCACAGTTTCGGGTTCTAGTGAGGACCAGCTTTCTGGCTTGTAGATGGCTGCTGGGCCCTCACAGGGCCTTTTCTTTGTGTGCCTGCAGGGAAAGAGGGAGCCCTCCTCTTACAAGGACACTAGTCCTATCAGATTAGGGCCCACCCTTATGACCTCATTTAACTTTAATTACCTAGAGACCATCTCCAATGCAGTCACATTGGGGTTAGTGCTTCAACATATGAATTTGAGAACACAGTTCAGTCCCTTACAAGTATTAAAAGATACCATGTGTGTAGTAACATTGTAAACCTTTTTTTTTTTTTTTAAATTTTTGAACGCTTCACGAATTTGCGTGTCATCCTTGCGCAGGGGCCATGCTAATCTTCTCTGTATTGTTCCAATTTTAGTATATGTGCTGCCGAAGTGAGCACAGCATTGTAAATCTTAAAAAGCATTAGACAAATGATAGATGCCATTGCTATTCTTTCCCACAAGGCTTGGCCCTGACTCCAGTTATAACCCAGGGGTTTTGAAAGCAGCACCGGACCCACAGCCATGGTTTGGTTTGTGCATCTCAGTCAGTTGTGAAGTGCTTCAAGTAGTTTGTTGACAAGAATAAAACACAGAATCTACAGACAATGTACATTTTTATAAATTAGCACAAACTCGAGGTTATCTCTGTGACACTCATTCTTGCTTACTGCTTTTTGCAGGATAGAAAGGGTTGAAATTAAGCTCCTATCCAGGGCACAGCCTAGAAGGTGTGTCGCAGGGGTGGGTCTCCAGCCTGAGAGCACACCTGTGTGGGGTGGGAAAAGACCTGGCCAGCTTGAGGGATGTAAAGACATGTCCTCTGTTCTCTCCCTGCGTGGGATTCTCTGCCACAGCGTCCCTGTGCCTCGGGGCCAGGCCTGCAGTTTCCCCTCTGTAGGACTATTTTTAACTGGTCATGTTGTTTCTTTTTTTAAGGTTACTTCTGGCTTTTTTCTTGTTACAAAAGCAATAGATGTTCTTTGCAGAAAAATGAAGAGAAGGCCATGAAAACTCCTGTTTTTATCAGCATTGGGGTCAGATGGAGTCAGAAAATTGCTTCCTGCTCCTCTGCCCTATAAAGTAACTAAGATAGCCATGAATGTAGTGAATATCATAGTTACTGGAATTTTTCTCAGAGAGAGTGAGAAGCCTCTGAGCCGAGGAGGAGACCCCAAGGAACATGCTGGAATAACAACTGAAGGTCCTAAAATTTGCTCTGGAAGGGTTGTTTTGACTGACACAACTTTTGTCTTGCTAAGGAGTGGAACGGGGTTAAGAGAGGAGCTCAGGTTGGACAAACTCGAAGTTTAGAATATACTCTTGAAAGAATGTTGGTTTGAAGGGCACCAGATTATCAAGTCTCCTTGGGGCACCCATTTGTCTCCTCTGGTTCTGACCCCAATTCATGGCATCATTTTAATGGTTGGATGAGTTTTATTAAATTAGCACATGCTGCTTCTATTTAAAAAATTCAAATAAGACAAGAAGAAACTGATGCTATACTATCTAGATATAACTAACCACCATTAATTTTTTGAACTTTTTGTTTGGAAATAATTTCCATTTAGAGATAAGTTACAAAAATAAAAAGGCCCCTTCTGGATTCTCCTGTTCTTAACATTTGACCTCATTTGCCATTCTCATGTATCATTTCCTCTCTTGTTCTCTATGTGTGTATGTGTATGGAGACACACACACATAAATACATACGTTTATCTTAACCATTAGAGATGGTCTTTATTCAAGCTTCTGTAGCAAAAATACCATAGACTAGATAGCTTATAAACAACAGAAATTCATTTCTTACAGTTCTGGAGGCTGGGAGTCCAAGATGAAGGTACCACTTGGTGGGGGCCCATTCCTCATAGCATCTTCTCACTGTGTCCTTACATGACTGGAGGGGACACAAGCTCCCTTGGCCTTCTTTTATAAGGGCACTAATCCTATTCATGAGGGCTCCACCCTCACAACCTAATCACCTCCTGATACATCATGGGGTTACGATTTCACACATGAATTTTGGGATGACACAAACATTCAGTTCTCATCAGAGAACAAGTTGCATACATCATCACACTTTATCCTTAAATACTTCAGTGTCTGTTTCCTAAGAATCAAGATACTCTCTTCTATAACCTCAGTACAATTAACAACATCAGTAAATTTATCATCAATTATACCCTTATTTCAATCTTGTCAGTTGACCCAAGAATTGCCCCTTCTACTTTAGGATTCAGTCTGGGGTCAGGTGTTGCATTTGGTGTTCCTGTCTTTTTAGCACCCTTTAATCTGGAGCATTTCCTCAGTCTTCCTTTGTCTTTTATGACATTCACACTTTGGGATAAGGCAGTTCTCCTCCTCTAGCTTGACGTCCCTCATTTTGGGTCTGTCTTTATGATTAAGTCAGGGAGAACACTGCATAGGTGATGTGTCCTTTCTCAGGGTGCCCTTTGTCCCCATTATTAAGGTTCATTTTGATTATCCAGAGTGTGGCCCATGCTGTCCAGTGTATAACTACTGTGTTTTTTTCTCCCTTGTGCTTTAAGCAGTCTACAGGGAGACATTCTAAGACTGGACAATACTTTGCTCCTCAAAAACATTTCCCTGCAAGGTAGCATTTGTTAGTTCTTACTTGAACCAATCTTGATTATATGATGGTTGCAAAATGATACTATTCTGACTGTAGCACTCCCTCCTCCATATTTAGCATTATGTTGTGAGCAAGAGCCTTCTCTCCCCATTGATTTATCTTTGTGGACTAACTCCTGTTTTTAAATGTTTTAAAATAATTACTATATTTAATTATGATTGTACTCACACTGTCCCACATTTAGCCAGTTGGAGGCCCTCAAGCGGGCTCCTGTGACCTGTGGCATGCCCATCACTTTTTTGAGCACTTCCTTACTGTCTGAAATAAGATGCTCAGACTCCTCTTATTCTTTCCCTGCCCCAGCCCCAGCACCATTCAGGATCTCCAAGGAGTCCATGTTTCTTTTAGCATGGAATGGCATTAAAGGGTGCCACGCATGCTCATTGCCATGACAGTGTCTTTGCTTCTTGGCCCTTTCAGTGGACAGAGCTAGGAATGCATGTGTGTGTGCATGTACACACAGAAATACACATGCACACATCTGCATATCTACACACACGTACATAAACATGCACATGATCATGCAAATAGAAATCACAGTTCATGCCAGTATGTCTCTGCAGGTTGTAACTTCCTCCATTCCATATTTGTATGCCCTTTCTTCAACAGTGAGAACCCTGGCTCCTGACAAAATGAACACATTTACTCATTTGCTCATTCCTGAGATATACCTAAAATAGTTTATTCTTTTTTTTGAGACAGAGTCTCACTCTGTTCCCAGGCTAGAGTGCCATGGCATCAGCCTAACTCATGGCAACCTCAAACTCCTAGGCTCAAGTAATCCTCCTGCCTTAGCCTCCCGAGTAGCTTGGACTACAGTTGCGTGCCCCCACGCCTGGCTAATTTTTTCTATTTTTAGTAGAGACAGGGTATTGCTTTTGCTCAGATTGGTCTCGAACTCCTGAGCTCAAGTGATCCTCCCACCTCGGCCTCCCAGAGTGCTAGCATTACAGGTGTGAGTCACCGCGCCAGGCCTAATAGTTTATTCTTGATTGGACTACAGTTATCATACATACTTAAAAGAACTCAGGATCACCCCTCCCTGCCCACATTATTAACTTTGATAAACATCCTTTTAGATTTCTCATATTATATACACTACAGATAAATATGTACAATTTTATTAAGTTGTAATTATGCTGTATATACTGTTCTATAACCTGACTTTTCCCTCCACTAAATAACATATTAACATCTTTCCATAAGATTTCATCCAACATTTTTGTCCACAAAAAGAAATCTTGTATGTTGTAATGGTTGCAGAATAACACCATAATTCCCTGTTATTGCATCTTGATTTTAAAAGGCGTCCAGTTTTTCACTATTATATATAAAGCTGGCATCAACACCTTTGTAACTAAATCTTAATTATTTCCTTAGGATAGAAGTGGAATTACTGGTCAAAGGGTATGTATATTTTTATGTCTTTCTGAATGGCTGTATTTATGCTCTGGCCAGCAGTTTTTGAGAGTGCTGGTTTTTCTAGACCAATGTTTCTCAACTGTGGCTGCACATCAGAATCATTGTGGGCACTTTTAAAAGCAGTGATGCCCAGGACTGGCTCCCTGAGATTCTGGTTTCATGGATCTGGAGTGTGAACCAGGGTTTGTAGTTTTTAAAAGCTCCCCAAGAGATTTTCATATGCAGCCAATTTGATAGGTGAAAGTGGATTTTCATTATTGTAATTATGATTTTCTTCTGAAATTGTTTCAGACATTCAGATTTGGGAGAAGTGGCCCCAGAAATTAAAGCATCAGAGAGACGAACAGCCGTGGCCATTGCAGGTAAAGTTGGACTCTGAAGCAAATGTGCTTCTGTCCTGTTGGGATTCTGGGCTCCAGCCCTTCTTTGAGCTGAGGATCGTGGACCTCAAAAATAAGCGTAAGGCTGTTATGTTCCCTTTTACAAGAAGATTCCATGTAAAGTCTTTTAGGCATTCCTCAAACACTCAAAATTGGATTGTTTTAAACAGGTGATTATCATATAATTTACCAGGAAAGCACATTACACCAACTTAAGCGTGTCATAATTGCCACCCTAGGTAGTATAGTTTATCTTCTAAACTTGGCACTTCTGAGAGTGAAAGGGGTGTTGTGACAATAGGTATAAATTGGGATTGTCCCAGTACAGACTGGGACTTGTGGTCTTCCTGGTCATGGTCCACATAGGCTAGGCTGGTTTGGGAGTGGGACTGTCACACTCACACCCTTTGTAACTTCAGCTTTAGCATATGGTGGCCACACTCCAAACATCTTAATTTCCCTTAGTAACTCATTTTGGATCTATCATTCATTAATTAGGCGCGTCTCAAAATGAAGGTATTCTGTTGGATGTTAATAGTGTTATGTAAAAACGAAAACCCACAAAAATATTAAATAATCAGATTTTATTCATTCAAACAGGTATTTATTGAGCCCTTGTAATGTGCTAGCATTGTTGTAGGCATTGGGATGTAGTAAACAATAGTAAATGAAATGGCCAAAAGTCCTTCATGGAACTTAAATTCTGGAAAGCAGGCACTGTGGGGATTAGTGGCTAGTTGGTCAAGGCTTACAGCCAAGTTGGGATCAAGCAGTAATTGCCCAAAGCCCTTCAATTTCTCCACATCTAGAATTGTGCTATTCAGTACAGTAGCCACTAGGCACATGGTTTAAAGTTAAACAGAATTAAAAATTTAGCTCCTTTAGTCATTCAAGCCATATGTCAAGTGCTCAGTAGCCACACACAGCTAGTGGCTGCATCTTGGACATTGCAGATGCAGAATATTTTCTTTATTTGAGGAAGCTTTCCTTTTTTTTTTTTTTTTTTTTTTGAGACAGAGTCTCACTCTTTTTGCCCGGGCTAGAGTGCCGTGGTGTCAGCCTAGCTCACAGCAACCTCAAACTCCTGGGCTCAAGCGATCCTCCTGCCTCAGCCTCCCGAGTAGCTGGGACTACAGGCATGTGCCACCATGCCCGGCTAATTTTTTTTTTCTATATGTTTTTAGTTGTCCGATTAATTTCTTTCTAATTTTAGTAGAGACGGGGTCTCGCTCTTGCTCAGGCTGGTCTCGAACCCCTGAGCTCAAACAATCTGCCCGTCTCAGCCTCCCAGAGTGGAGGAAGCTTTCCTTGAGAGTGTTGATCTGGAAAGAAAACGTGGGGATGGGGTGAGGAAAGGGAACAACCTTATCGGATGCTTATCAGGTGCTACGTTGCCTTAGTTTTTACAGTAACTCTGAGATAGTTATTATTGATCCTTTGGTTCATTTGAGGAAACTGAGACCCAGAGATATTCTTGTCCTTCCCTAAACTTTAATCTCTGTATCTCTCTAGTGAATAAGCTGCCAGTGTTTAATTTAAAACAATTTTTCTTCACAAGGTGTATGAATTCCTCTCGGGCATATGCTTCATTTTTAAGACTTATTTATTTATTTATTTATTTAAGACAGAATCTCGCTGTTGCCCTGAGTAGAGTGCTGTGGCGTCAGCCCAGCTCACAGTAACTTCAGCCTCCCGAGCTGAAGCCATCCTCCCGCCTCAGCCTCCCAGAGTGCTAGGATTACAGGCGTGTGCTACCTCGTCCAGCCCATTTTTAAGATTTAAAGCAAGGTCTTTAACCAATAGGATTTAAAAAATTGTATTGAAGTATAGAACAGTGCTCACATTACTAGTGTATAGCTTGATAAATTTTACCCACACAAACCAGCATTCCAATCAAGAAGCCAAACTAAACCATCCCCCCGGAAGTCCCTTTCTAATTACTTCCCACCCCACCTCTACCGGGGAAGCCACTATTCTTGTAAAAGCATAGATTAGTTTTGCCTGGTTTATACTTTATATAATCACTCTAGAATTTATTTTATCTCATGTCTGGGGACTCTACTTCATAGCTCATTCTTTTTTTTTTTTTTTTTTTGAGACAGAGTCTCACTTCTTTGCCTGGGCTAGAGTGAGTGCCGTGGCGTCAGCCTAGCTCACAGCAACCTCAAACTCCTGGGCTCAAGCAATCCTTCTGCCTCAGCCTCCCAGGCATGCGCCACCATGCCTGGCTAATTTTTTTTCCTATATATTTTTAGTTGTCTGATTAATTTCTTTCTATTTTTAGTAGAGATGGGGTCTCGCTCATGCTCAGGCTGATTTCGAACTCCTGAGCTCAAACAATCCGCCCGCCTCAGCCTCCCAGAGTGCTAGGATTACAGGCCTGAGCCACCGTGCCCGGCCGCTCATTCTTTTTTAAAAAATTAAAAAAAAGAAATTTAAGTGAACATTTTGTGGTATTTAATACATTCATAATGTTGTACAACCACTACCTCTTAGCTATTTAGTTCCAAAATATTTCCAGGCCAGATATGGTAGTGCATATGGGGAGGCTGAGGCAGGAGGATCCCTTGAGCCAAAGAATTTGAGTCCAGCCTGGGCAACACAGCAAGACCCTATCTCTTAAAAAAATTTTTATTCCTCCGTCACTTGAAAGTAAGAGCCTATACCCATTAAATGGTTTCTCCCTATCCCTCTCTCCTCCCAGCTCCTAGCAATCCTAGCGCAAGTCTGTGTTATAGCTCTGTTTATTGATTTTGGATGTTTCATACAAATGGAATCATATAATATGTGAGCTTCACTTAGCATAATATTTTGGGGTTCATCTCTGTTCCTTTTTATGGCTGGGTAATGTTCCAGTGTGTGTATACACCCCACAAGTTATCCATTCATCTGCTGATAAACATTTGGGTTGTTTCAACCTTTTGGATATTGTGAATAGTGCTGCTGTGAACATGCTTGTACAAGTACTTGTTTGAATCTCTTTTGATTCTTTTGGATATATACCTAGGGGTAGAATTGCTAGGTTATATAGTAATTCTTTTAACTTTTCGAGGAACTACCAGACTGTTTTTCATAGAAGCTTAACTATTTTACCTTCCCACCATAAATGTATGAGGGTTCCAGTGTTTCCCCATCTTCACCAAAACTTGTTTTCCGGTTTTTTTGTTTGCTTGTTTGTTTGTTTTTGTTTTCAGTAGCAATCCTAGTAGGTGTGAGGTGTTATCTCCTCGTAGTTTTGATTTGCATTTCCCTAGTGAATAATGATGTTGAGCATCTTTTCATGTGCTTGCTGTGTGTATCTTTTTTAGAAAGATGTCTATTAAAATTTTTTGCCATGTTTTAATGGGTTGTTTGTCTTTTTCTGTTGTAAAGCTGTAAGAGTTTTTATATATTTTGAATACTAGGCCTTTATCAGGTACATAATTTGCAAATATTTTCTCCCATTTTGTTGGTTGTCTTTTCACTTTCTTGATAATGTCCTTTGATGCACAAGAGCTTTTTATTTTGATGAAGTCCAGTTTATCTATTTTTGTTTCCTGTGCTTCTGGTGTTATATCTAAGAATCCATTACCAAATACAAGGTTATGAAGATTTACTCCCATATCGTCTTCTAAGAGATGGTTTTAGCTATTATATTTTGACCGTTGATCCTTCTTGAGTTAATTTTTGTATATGATGTGAGTGAGGGGTCCAACTTTATTCTTTTACATGTAGATGTCCATACCTCATTCATAACACTAACAGCCCCAAGGTGTGAAATGGTGTCTTTACTATCCAATAATGATTATTCCAAAATTTGATGAAAAACTCTATTTGGTGAGTACTGAGTACTATAATAATTAGGGGGAAGATCATCCAGTTTGATAGGTAAAAAATGGTTTAAACTGCCCCATTTTGAGCTGTCCATCAGTAGGCTCATAACAGTTCTTACTGGGCTCACTTTCAGTGGCAGGGCCTGGTCCACACTCTGTTCTTATGTTCCATTTGAACCCAGTGCTCCCACTGAGTCAGAGCTTGTCTTGTCCTTAGATCAGCTCCTGCCCAATAGGGAGTGTAGTGGAGTCTGGGCGTGTATCCTTGATCCATCCACCTGTTATCTCCCCGGCTCCACACCAGAGCTATTTCCCACCCCTAACCAAGGAAGGCCCTGTTTTCTCTGGGTCTGGAGGTTACTCCTGAATCCAGCTGAAATCTACTTTCAGAACTATACCAACCCCACCTCTGGCATCTCTAGACTTTCACATTCTCTTCTCTAACCATGTTCTTTCCTCATACAACATTTTGGATTCCTTGGAAAAATTCTTCTGGTATCTTTTCTTCAATTTGAATAGAGTAATCCTTTGACTGCTTAACATTGTGGTTTGATCTGTGTGGATCTTGCGTCTTCTCTGAGATTCTCATGCTTTCTGAGCCCCGTTTTCTTTCTCCCTTTTTCTCTTTCCTGCTCAGCACGTGTCTGTTTCCCAGAGACACCATCAAAGAAGACAGTTTGAAATGTTAGGTTTATCTCCCTGACTATATGGGAATTATGAGAAAATTGATAAACCTGAAAATTTCAGAATCTTTTCTTAATTTATAAGCTTTTCAATATATAGATTTTGAAACAGGTGATACTTTCACTTGAATCAAAAGTCAAAACAGTGAAAACACACACAGAGAAGTCTTGCTCCCACCATCCCAAGCTGCCCATTCTCTCCTTTATATTATGCGTTTGTAAGCAAATCTATAGGGCTTTAAGATCTTTTTCCCAAAGTAAATATCTGAATTGCACTAAATTAAATATATCCTATAATTAAATGTTAATGTAGTTGGACATATCATGTTAGAGACTTGCAGCAGAGTTGCAGCTCTTCCCCAGTCTGTCTCTCTACCCTCATGTATTTGTGCTCTGATATAAATATCATTTTAAGTGATTATAAAAACTTATGCATCCAGCCAAGTTTGGTAAATTCTATAAGGAGTATATTCTAGAACAAATCTCTATCCT